ATATTTTCAAGAAAGTGAAGAAAGAGGAATGCTGAAAGAGTGACTAAATGGACAAGCAAGAACCTGAGGTAGTTTATCATAGAATTTGGCAGAATTTACTAGCTCAGATGCAGCTCTAATATCCTCAATTGTTGTCACTCTTGTGGGCTGCGAGTATGCTCCATCAGGATCCTAGAGTAGTTCCAAATATTATGCTTTCCTTCTGACCACAACTCACTTCTTCTGAGGAGTAACCCAAAATATAATAAATTGACATTAGCTAAATTTTAAAGCACATCCAATTGGAATGAAAGTTATAGAAGAAATGAGAAACCACAAAGCAAATGCAGTTATATTATCACACCATTAATAATTGCAGATACGGTTCCTGCTATCAGAACCGGAACCTCTGGTTTGTAGAGATAGGCAAGGAGGCGCAGTGGAACTTCTAGACTCTGTTCTAGCAGTTTTGATAGGCGGTCACAGGGTTTTCTTAATGCAATTTTAGGAACACTCGGTCCGCTGATGCTCGTAGACCACATGAGACAGAGACGAGTTGCAAACTCACTGGAACTGAGTGACACTTTCATCGATTGATTTGATTTCAAGGGTTGATCGATGGAGCCTTGCTATGGCTTCTAGCGACGTACCTACAAATGCCCCAAATTGCTTTTTTTTTGCAATTTTATGTCCTCATACACCCTACATGATCTCTCATATGATCAAATAAATAAATAAAGACACAAATAAACAAAATTATAACGAAATATATTTTTGTCATTTTTCAATATTGTGATGATATGCAAAGACACATATATAAATCTAAACATGCCAAGGTTTTCGAAGTGTTAATAAATCATCAATCAAATTAAACATTATATGGACCCACAAATTTTTATTCTATTATCTTTATAAACATAAAAATTCTCATAATTAGGTTCAAAGATCTCTAGTCCATTTATAAATCAATAGTAGTTAACTTAGTCCATTATATGTGCATTAGAAATAAACTCAACACATATATAATCAGTTTCAAATTTGTGTTCAAAAACAAAAATAAATTTCACACAAAAGATTCAAAGATTTCAAAAGCATGTGAATTTTCGCTCTTTTCTTTTTCTTTTTGAAACCACTCTTGTTTTTTTCTTTTGTGTTTTTATGACGGCTTTCACTCTAATGAGTAGCCAGCTATTTTCCCTTATTCCCATTTTTTTCGAGTCAAGGAAGCTGTCGGTCTGATCTCACTAGGTAGCCTTTTTCATAAGAAACTTTTTGCAGCCATCTCATTGGAGATTTTTCATTTCTTTTTAACTGCAAAACACGCAATTTTTTTTTTTTTCTTTTTGCTTTGCACCTCACATTTTTTTTTCAAAAGTCATCATCTTATATTACCTTAAGATGTTACTCATTATTTGAGTTTAAGTTCACAACTTTGAAGAAAGATCATATAAATGTGAGTTAGTGTGTGTGAATAATTTCACAAGTTTCTTACTATAAAGAAATAAATAAACCAAAACTTTTACTATAAATTATTCAATATTCTATGTTTAATCAGAATCAATTTCAAAATTGTGTTTCGAAACTTTAATCTCTTTAATTGACTCTTGATTGAACAATTCAAAGTTTATGGCATGTATTTCTAGACACGAATACATAAATAAATTAAACAAATATACATGATAAGTATGCATAAATTATCATACTAGGGAACTGCCAAAAAACCAACCCACCAACCTACTGATACTAAAAGAAAAAGAAAAGAAGAACTGCCAAAAACCAACCCACCAGCCTACTGACACTGTTAGAAAAAGAAAAAAGAAGAGTAGGAAGAAGAAGAATGCCTCTAGCCAAATTTCTCAGTATGAGAGCCAATCCAAGTAATATACAACCAGAAATACTACAATCCCTCCTAAGACAAAGCTGGGTTAACTCACAAAATAAAATGGAACCGGATGCATTCTTGAAATACTTCACCTTTTAAGGAAAGAAAAGATCAGTTTGGCATCTTATAGGGAGGTTAGGCTAAAAACTGTCAGCTACCATACTTCAAGTTGGTTAGCAGCTTGGGTCAACTATGACATACAACAATGCACAGCATTAGAAATTGAAGCAGTTCAGGGATATAAAGAAGAACCTTCTCAATAAAGCAGTGGGAAAAAATGGCAGCCTCCAATTCAGTAATGGTGCATCCTCATTCCTCAGCGTATCAAAAAGGTCATGAAGAAATTCCAGCCCCTGGTTTTAGAGGGGAAAAAGAAACAAATTTTAATCACAATCAACAAATTTTCTTAACAGCCACCTGAAATAAGCAAAATTGAAATATATCAATAAGAAAATACTTCACCTTCAATAGGCATGATGTGTTAGATTTGTAGAATCGCAAACCAAGCCATCTTAGAACTTCAATTAGTTCCTTTCCAAAGAATGGAAGTGCCGGGAAAGCCAACATAAACTACAATTATATGGCCAATCACATATTCTGAGCATTTTGAAGCCAACACACTGTTTCTGGTCCGCAAACTCCTAAAATTTCACCAATGCAAGCTTTTGCACCCTTGCAAACTTCTGTTGATTTATCCTATAGGGGAACCAATAAACCATAAAATTTCCATAAAATCAAAAAATGAATATTGCTTTCAATTTATTTTGCAAAAATATTGTAGTATTGCTATAGCATATACCGTCATGGCAGAGGCAGCTGGTTTTAGCAAATGTGAAGCATCGGAAAAATCACTTAATCTAAAATGGACAACATTAACCTAAAATGGACATAGAATTGTCATAATATTAGACAAGCATGACTATAATGCACAATAAGAAAGATCCTTAAGCTCTTCCACAGCGCATCTGTTAAAGCAGCAGCAGCAACAACATTAACCTAAAATGGACATAGAATTGTCATAATATTAGACAAGCATGACTATAATGCACAAAATACAACCACATTTACCACAATTCCTTTTAAGAAAAAGGTCAGACAACTAACATAAGAAAATGGAACTAGATGCATTCTTAAAGAAACTACTTCACCTTTTAAAGAAAGAACTGATCGGTTTGACATCTTCTAGGAAGGTTAGGATAACAACTGCCAGCTACCATACTTCAAATTGGTTAGCAGGTTTGGGTCAAACATGACCAACCACAATGCAGCATTAGAAACGGCACAGGTGACAGGACTAATTGAAGCAGTTCAGGACTAATTGAAACTGCACAGGTGACAGGACTAATTGAAGCAGTTCAGGGCTACAAAAAAGAACCTTCTCAATCAAGCACGGGAAAAAAATGGCAGCCTCCGATTCACTAATGGTGTACCCCTCATTCCACAGCGTATCAAAAAGTTCAGGAAGGAATTTCAGCACCTGTATTTGAAGGGAGGGAGGGAGAGGGGGGGGGGGGGGGGGGGGGGGGGGGGGGGGGGGGTAACTAAATTTAATCACAACCAACAAATTTTCCTACCAGCCACCTGAAATAAGCAAAACTGAAATATATCAATAAGAAAATACTTCACCTTCAATGGGCACGGTGACTTAGATTCGCTGAATCGCAAACCAAACAATCTTAGAAGAACATCTAGAACTTCAATTAGTTCCTTTCCAATGGATAAAAGTGACTGGAGAGCCAACACAAACTAAAATTATATAACCAATCACATATTCTGAGCAAGTCCAAGTAACCACAAATGTGACAGCGAAAGCACCTTCTGCAGCATCTCAATACCATCAACTTGCTTCTTGAAGTCTGTGCTAAGAAGCCTCCTGTGCAGATCTTCTCTGAAATACTTCAAAAGACCATTCTGTAGCATAAACAATTGTTCTGTCAAATTCAAAAGGAAATGATAGAAAAGCAAAAAATATTCATGAACACAAACCTCGAGTTCTTGAATTTGCTCTGACCGTGGCTCTTAGAATTTAGACCTTCGGATAACCATTCTGTCTGTAATATCCGGCACATCAGTCGTAGTGACGGTTGCAGCCGTTTAAGAGCAGTAGCCAAGGCAGGTCCACGTATATCTTTCAAATTTTTGGTCACCTAGAAAAATGATAATTATAATAAAAAATCTCAAGAGTTCTGTCAGTTTTAAGAAACCAAAAGGATCATCAAAGAATTTTGAAGCCAACGCACTGTTTCTAGTCCGCAAACCCTTAAAATTTCACCAATGCATGCTTTTGCTGCCATGCAAACTTCTGCTAATTTATCCTACATGGGAACCAACAAACCATAAAATTTCCATAAAATCAAAAAATGAATATTGCTTTAAATTTATTTTGCTAAAAAATTCTAGCATTGCTCTAGTATATACCGTCATAGCAGAGGCAGCTTGTTAATCCAGTAAGTTGCCTCGATACCCAATAAAACAGATCCTTACGTTCTTTCACAGCAAGTATTGCATCTGTCAAAGCAGCAGCAACATAAGACACCTAAAATGGACATTGAATTGTCATTATATTAGACAAGCATGACTATAATGCACAAAAATACAACCACAATTACTACAATCCCTTTTAAGAAAAAGGTCGGTCAACTAAAATAAGAAAATGGAACTAGATGCAACTACTTCGCTTTATAAAGAAAGAACTGATAAGTTTGGCATCTTCTAGGAAATTTAGTCTTAAAACTGCGGGCTACCATACTTCAAGTTGGTTAGCAGGTTTTGGTAAAACATGACCAACCACAATGCAGCATTAGAAAACTGCAAAGGTGACAGGACTAATAGAAGCAGTTCAGGGCCACAAAAAAAACTTCTCAATCAAGCAGCATTAGAAACTACAAAGGTAATGGGACTCATTGAGGCAGTTCAGGGCTACAAAACAAACCTTCGCAATCAAGCACAGGAAATAAATGGCAGTCTCCGATTCAATAATGGTGTATCCCTCATTCCTCAACGTAGGTTGATGTGTGTGTGTGTGTGTGTGTGGGGGGGGGGGGGGGGGGGGGGGGGGGGGGGGTGGTTTAATCACAACCAACAAATTTTCCTACCAGCCACCTGAAACAAGCAAAACTAAAATATATCAATAAGAAAATACTTCACCTTCAATAGGCACAATGAGTTAGATTCGCAGAATCGCAAACCATACAATCTTAGAAGAACATCTAGAGCTTCAATTATTTCCTTTTCAATGGATAAAAGCGCCTGGTAAGCCAACAGAAATTAAAATTATACAACCAATCACCTATTCTGAGCAAGTCCAAGTAACCAAAAATGTGACAGCGAAAGCACCTTCTGCAGCATCTCAATACCATTAACTATTTGAAGTTTTTGCCAAGAAGCCTCCTGTGCAGATCTTCTCTGAAATACTTCATAAGACCATTCTGTAGCATAGAGAATCATTCTGTCAAATTCAATAAGAAATGATAAAAGAGTAAAAAATCATTCATGAACCATAAATAAACACAAACCTCAAGAACTTGAATTTCCTCTGACCATGGCTCTTAGAATTTAGACCTTTGGATAACCATTCTGTCTGTATCATCCTGCACATAGGACGATTCAAGTGACAGTGCACTAAAAAAAACACAATTGGAACTTGATGTTATATTACTATCCAATATACCCTGTTTGAACCTTAACATTTAACAAAGGCAGAGACTGGATTGTCATATATTGAAAAGATATAATTGACTCAGGCATGAACCATTGCTTCCGTAACTCCCTACCCAAACAATTAAAGAATCAGAATCATTGTTAAACTATAAGCGGCAAACCTTTCAAGCAGGTAAAAGCATACTGAAGACCTCGTCTTCAGTTGATCTGAAATGGCACCGCTTTGACACCGGTTTCGTGCCTGCCAAAAACCCTCCGATGGTAAAGTCAGTCACCAGGAAAATAAACAGAAGCATAAGGCAATTATTTTTATCGTACCTGATTGGTTGCTATGGACCTACTTTATAGCTACCGTGGAAAATTAGTTTGTTGCAAATTTAAGGAGACTTCCCAGGAAATTGAATTTCAATTTCACTTTATCGTGTAACTCTTTTGAATTATAACTGTTTGATTGCTTCCGATTGGCCCTCGGCTTTTCCTTTGTTGCTGACTGTTGTACCTTTTCCCCTATCACATGCCATGGTACACGATCTCCAAGATCGTTGATACTAGACTTCCTAACCTTTGAGCCAATTTTAGATGTTGGTATTGTTTTTTGATGATTCAAACGTTTTCCTGGAAGCAAACAAGTTAGATTAGCTAAGTAACACAGCCAACAAAACCAATATAACATCTAAGCAAATTTTATGAAGAATCGCCTTGAAAAGCCCTATATGGCTTCAGCCGTTCGAGAACAATAGCCAAGGCAGGTCCATGTATATCTTTCAAATTTTTTGTCACCAAGAAAAATGATAATTATAATAATCTCAAGAGTTCTATAAATTTCAACAAACCAAAGGTAACACCAAAGAATTTTGAAGCCAACGCAGTGTTTCTGGTCCGCAAACTCTTAAAATTTCACCAATGCATGCTTTTGCTACCTTGCAAACTTCCGCTGATTTATCCTATATGGGGACCAACAAACCATAAAATTTACATAAAATAAAAAATAAAAAAAAATGAATATTTCTTTCAATTTATTTTGCAAACAAATTCTAGTATTGCTCTAGTATATACCGTCATAGCAGAGGCAACTGGTTTTAGCAAATGTGAAGCATCAGAAAAATCACTTGATCCAGTAAGTGGCCTTGATAACCAATGAAAAAGATCCTTATGATCTTTCACAGCAAGTATTGCATCTGTTAAACCAGCAGCAACACAAGAAACCTAAAATGGACATAGAATTGTCAAAATATTAGACAAGCTTGAATATAATACACAACAATACAACCACAATTACTGCAATCCCTTTTAAGAAAAAGGTCGGTCAACTAACATAAGAAAATGGAACTAGATGCATTCTTAAAGAAAATACTTAGGCTTTTAAAGAAAGAACTGATCAGTTTGACATCTTCTAGGAAGGTTAGGCTAAAAACTGCCAGCTACATAACTTCAAGTTGGTTAGCAGGTTTGGGTCAAACATGAACAACAACAATGCAGCATTAGAAACTGCACAGGTGATGGGACTAATTGAAGCAGTTCAGGGCTACAAAAAGAACCTTCTCAATCAAGCAGCATTAGAAACTGCACAGATGATGGGAGTACTTGAAAAAATTAAGAGCTAAAAAAAAAAAAAAAAAAAAAAAAACACCTTATCAATCAAGCATGGGGAAAAAATTGACAGCCTCTGATTCAGTAATGGTGTATCCCTCATTCCTCAATGTATCAAAAAGTTCATGAAGGAATTCCAGCACCTCTTTTTGAAGGGGAAAAAATACTAAATTTAATCACAACCAACAAATTTTCTTACCAGCCACCTGATATAAGCAAAACTGAAATATATAGATAAGAAAATACTTCACCTTCACTAGGCATGATGAGTTGATCGCAGAATCGCACACCAAACCATCTTCGAAGAACATCTAGAACTTCAATTAGTTACTTTCCAACGGATAAAAGTGCCTTGAAAGCCAACGGAAAGTAAAATTATACAACCAATCACATATTCTGAAAAACTAAAAGCCCACTAAAAATCAGGTCACAAGTTCAGACTTGAAATGTAACCTTTATATTTGCTCTATATGTGATCAAGTTACAAAATAATTAGCGCACCCAAATCTAAGATACCTTTTTCAAACATCTTTCCTTGTTGAATCACGGCAATCATACAGGCATTCCTCATTGTGCTCGATTGATGGGCTACAATAACTGTTGTCCCGTTGACCATAACCCCATCCATTGCTTCTTGCACAATCCTCTCTGATTCAGCATCAAGAGCACTCGTTGCTTCATTTAGACGTAGAATTTGGGGATCCTTCAGAATTGCTCTGGCTAGGGTAACTCGTTGCTTCCATCCACCAAACAGCTGTATTCCATGCTCAACCACCATGGTGCGGTGTAACTAAATTAAAATTTCAAAATTCAAAGGCAAATTAAAATTCATATTTTCATGAAAAGTGAAGAAAGAGGAATGCTGAAAGAGTGACTAAATGAACAAGCAAGAACCTGATGTAGTTTATCAATGAATTTAGCAGAATTTACTAGCTCAGCTGCAGCTCTAATATCCTCAATTGTTGTCCCATCCTTCCAATACACAATATTATCCTCAATGCTGGATGCAAACAACATGGGTTCTTGGCTGACGAGACCAATTATCTCCCTAATCCATTAAGCTGGAACACATATAGATTAATTTGATCAATAAGTACTTCACCAGTTTGTGGATGATAAAATCTCCAAATCAGACTTTGCACTGTTGACTTACCTCTTCCACTCTGTCCAACCAAAGCTACAGTTGTGCAACTAGGGATGGAAAGAGAGAATGCACTGAATATTCGATCATCGGCTCAGACTGAATAACAAAAACGGACATCACTTAAATCTATATCTCCAGGCACTCTGCTCCATATTTCTCCTTTGGATTGTCTCAGGTCGAAGGTTCTTCTTCATTTCCAGGAGTCTTGCCTTATCTGTCTTCCTCAAATGTTCCGGTTGCAGCATAAGTAGAAGCAGGGAGTTCGGTTGCCTGTTTAGATATTTGTGAAGTTCTCTGTCTGGATCTGGTTGATAACATAATCAACCTCTCAAAAACTCCGCTCAGAGTGGACTAATGTCATCCAATACTTTTCCCTTCATGTCATATGCATCTATCTCTACCGTCTTATTTATAGTCTCAAACATCTGTAATGGAGCAACTTGACCTGCAGCAAATGCACTCATGCAAGGAAAATCGGAGATGCCAGCCGTAAACACCTGAAATATCCACATTGCAGCTAAAAGTTTTAAATATATGATTTGCTACAAGACTGACAAGCTCAAGCAGAAGGTACTGAAAAAACTATAACTTCTTTAGAAGCTACACAACAAAATTGGGAAAAAACCAGAACTTCATTTTAGCTCATCTTATTCTTTTACATCCCATCCCGATTCTTAACTTTGCACATCTTACAACTCTACTAACTTTTTGTCCTTTCCATTTCAGCTCTTCGGAGTAACATGAAACATAGATAAATTGAAAAAGATAAACATTCAAGCAAATAACAGCAGTAAGAGCAACCGAAACCTCAATGTTTCATTTGATTTACCTTCCTAAACAAAACTTCTATAACATATAAAAGCACCCAGCCAAGCCAAACTCTCCCTTGTGAGACACAGTGGGAGGTGATTGTTGTTTCCTCCTCCAGATGATTCCCAACTTGTGGAATGCAGGAATGAAATTTGTTGACTTGATTATCTACCAGATTCCATAGTAATTTATGACTTGTCTTGGTCACTTCTAGAAATCATATGAGCTGAGAGTACGCTCCATCAGGATCCTTGAGTAGTTCCAAATATTATGCTTCCCTTCTGAGCACAACTCACTTCTTCTTCTGAGTAACCCAAAACATACATAAATTGGCATTAGCTAAATTTTAAAGCACATACAATTGGACTGAAAGTTGTAAAAGAAATGAGAAACCACAAAGCTAATGCAGTTATGTTATCCCACCATTAATAATTGCAGATACGGCTCCTGCTATCAGTACCGGAACCTCTGGCTTGTAGACATAGGCAAGGAGGCGCAGTGGAACTTCTAGACCCTGTTCTGACAGTTTTGATAGGTAGCCATGGGGTTCTTAATGCAGTTTCAGGAACACTCGGTCCAGCTGATGCTGGTAGACCAAATGAGACAGAAACGAGTTGCAAACTCAATGGAACTGAGAGACACTTGCATCGATTGATTTGATTTCAAGGGTCGATCGATGGAGCCTTGCTATGGCTTCGAGCGACGTACCTAAAAATGCCCTAAATTGCTTCTTTTGCAATTTTAAGTCCTCGTACACCCTACATGATCTCTCATATGATCAAATAAATAAATAAAGACACAAATAAACAAAATTATAAAGAAATATATTTTTGTCATTTTTCAATTTTGTGATGATATGCAACGACACATATATAAATATATAAGTCTAAACATGCCAAGGTTTTCGAAGTGTCAATAAATCATCAATCAAATTGAACATTATTTGGACCCACAAATTTTTATTCTATTATCTTTATAAACATAAAAATTCTCATAATTAGGTTCAAAGATTTCTAGTCCATTTATAAACCAATAGTAATCAACTTAGTCCATTTAATATGTGCATTAGAAATAAACTCAACACAAATATAATCAGTTTCAAATTTGTGTTCAAAAACAAAAATAAATTTCACACAAAAGATTCAAAGATTTCAAAAGCATGTGAATTTTCGCTCTTTTCTTTTTCTCTTTGAAACCTCTCTAGTTTTTTTCTTTTGTGTTTCTATGACGGCTTTCACTCTAATGAGTAGCCAGCTATTTTCCCTTATTCCCATTTTTTCGAGACAAGGAAGCTTTCGGTCTGATCTCACTAGGTAGCCTTTTTCATAAGAAACTTTTTGCAGCCATCTCATTGGAGATTTTTCGTTTCTTTTCAACTGCAAAACCTCTCATTTGTTTCTTTGTGTTTCTATGACGGCTTTCACTCTAATGAGTAGCCAGCTATTTTCCCTTATTCCCATTTTTTTAGAGTCAAGGAAGCTTTCGGTCTGATCTCACTAGGTAGCCTTTTTCATAAGAAACTTTTTGCAGCCATCTCGTTGGAGATTTTTCGATTCTTTTCAACTGCAAAAACACGCTTTTTTTTTTTCTTTTTGCTTTGCACCTCACTTTTTTTTTTCAAATGCCATCATCTTATATTACCTTAAGATGTTACTCATTATTTGAGTCTAAGTTCGCAACTTTGAAGAAAGATCATATAAATGTGAGTTAGTGTGTGTGTGAATAATTTCACAAGTTTCTTACTATAAAGAAACAAATAAACCGAAACTTTTACTAGAAATTATTCAAACTTCTATGTTTAATCAGAATCAATTTCAAAATTGTGTTTCCAAACTTTTATCTTTTCAATTGACTCTTGATTGAACAATTCAACGTTTATGGCATTGATTTCTAGACACATATACATAAATAAATTAAACAAATATACATGATAAGTATGCATAAATTATCAGACTAGGGAACAAGTATTTTCACTCCCCTTGAGGCTTCTCCTCCTCCTCCTTTCCCATGAAATCAAACAACCCACGATCCACGACCACATCACCCCTAATGGTACAGTATTCATTCTCAAGCCCCATCTCTTATATTTGCACTCTCATATCACAAAACCCAAAAACAAAAATTGTTCCCAATCAACAAAATGCTAAGCTACCTTTAATTCATTTTCACAATCTTTCCTGCCATGTTCAAGCGAACCACAGCACTGTCAGAACTAAAATTGATTAGAACGAAGAAAATACTACCTATATTCGCTAAGCAAAAAAATATGAGCAAGTATAGAAAGGAAAACCACTTGAATTAATATTATCTACCACCCAAAAAGAAAGTTCCATATCACATTGAAGCACCCAACCATGTTCTGCTTTCCTAAAACTCGAAGCAACAACCTAAGAGGAATACAAAACAAAAGAAATTACACACCAATTTTAGCTGAGGGCAGAAAAACTGAAATTAAGAAAGAAAGAGAATCAGAGATAGAGGGTACACCCTCACACATTTTAAGCCTTTAAGTTTTTGAGTGTAAGAGAGACAGAAAGAGAAAGAAATTACCTGATAGGATTATGACGAGATTGTCGCACAGTGGGTAGAGTTTCACCACAGCACAACGCATAATATTATATGCCTTCAGTGCCTCATTTTTTACTCTTTTTTTTCACATCTAACCCAATCTCCCTCTTTTTTTTTCCCTTTTCAATCCTTTTTTTTTTTTTTCACATGTAACTCACTCTCCCTCTTTTATCACAACTTCTCCCTCTCTTTTTTTTTTTTCCTTTTCATACAGTCTATTTTCTTTCTTCTCACATTTTTTTTCCCTACTTCTATCTTTTTTTCTCATACAAATCTGACATCCTCTTTTCTTTTCTTTTTTCTTTCTTTTTTTTTTTTTTTTTTTTTTTTTGTACATCTCATCTCACTTCTTTTTCAAGCATCTCTCACTCTCCATCTAAAAGATAGCCTGAAACACAAAGGAAATTCAATTAAACAATTATACAAGCACATAAAATTACTACGAATATTACCACCCTTTAGTTTAACCAAAAATAAATACATGCCAAAAAATAATTCCAACCTAAAATGGACATAGAATTGTCATAATATCGGACAAGCATTAATATAATGCACAAAAAGTACAATGAAATAGAATAAATGAACAGATAGTAACCGTTTTGTCAAGATGTACAGCAGCAAGCCAAGACTCTAAAGTAGTCAAAGAAGATTCTGTCAAATTCTTTTTTATTGTCACCCAGGCATTTCAAAACGTCTGATAGAATGCCCTGCAGCAAACCACTTAACATATTAATGTCAGATATATAAGAAAAACAGAGTAAAAAGAGGTAAATGCAGGTTGAAAGCCAACAAACCTT